ACACTTGGTAGGACTCTGGGGGCTGGTAGGCTAAGGGAAAGCAGATGCATCTACAGAGCCTTTGTCACGTGTGATGCTGGCAGATACACCTGCAGTTCTGCGTTTCTGCCATTCTCATCCCTTTCAGAATGGGAGGGGCAGGGAGGGTAAGAAAGACCAACTTTGTCAAGCCAGCTGAAACCTGTCACATTCGTAGAAAATGCATTTTGGGGGCAAAAAATAAATAAATGCTATCCCACGCTCACACTGCCTTCAGATTCTTATTCATTTCAGTATCCAGCTACCCAAATTCCACTTGCTTCAAATAGCAGCAGAGAAAAGGGAGTGAGGGGAAAAGGAAATGAGGAGCCATCTACAGACTTAGAAACCATTACAGGGCAAATATGGATATAAACTAATAACAGAGAATGGGATATGATCACACCATATGGGATCAACCCAACTGATCCCAAAGGACTCATTTTAGATAAATGTGCAACCCGTGTGAGAATCTCTCTCTAGGCTTGCTTATGACACACTGCCTCAGTTTCCAATTGGTAAAGGAATCATTACAGTGATTAAAAAACATTCATCAGTCCTACACTTGCTGTGGTGCTGGCAGAAGCCTCTACATGCCATGTGCTGGGAGAGCTTCAGAAGTGGGTTGCTCTACCTAGAATCACCGTATTTTCCACTTGAAGTCTATATTTTGTACAAATGTACCAGCACATTTGAAAACAAAATAATTTGTTCTTGCTGTTAACTTATGTAAAAAATCCTGCTTCATTTGCCTGACATTAAGAAAACAGAGGAAAATAAATTGTCCAAGCAGACCTGGTACTGAGATGATAACAACCCTGGAGAGATTACTGTTAGCTGGCTATGCCATCTGCTTAGTGGATGCAGAATCCAAGGACTGCTGTAGTCTATGCAAAGACCAGCTTTAAGACTGATGCAAAGTCAAGGAATGCTAATTGAGTTAAACTGATTGAAAGCTAGATAATGACAGACAGTGCAAGAGCAACAATGATTGGCAGTGGGTCATTCACAGCCTTTCTCTCAAATATCATTAATCTGTATCATTTCTTGTGGCATCTGAAGGCACAAGAAAAACTAAAATTTGTAGTTTTTTTCTCCCCATATGGAACTAAAAGGGGGAAAGAAGGTCTAAAAACTATGCTCTTGTAAAAAACATTTAAGTACCAGAGTCAGATATGTCTGACCCCCTTTACTCAGTGTGCAAGCAAATGAGCCACAAACTGAGATCAGATGATCAATATTCTACCTATTTCAGCAGATCTCTTAAAAACTTAGTGTAGTATTTCTGACCACATGGATAGAAAGGTCACTGTTTAAGAGACCTTGTCTTTACCACTGCTGACCTGACAGGTCTCATACATGCTGTTACAAGTCCCAGATAGGCCTACTAATCTTGATGGCCTCGAGTACCCAGAACTGAATTTTCTCTGTAAGTTTCCACTTACACTTGTCCAACTCCAGCACAGCTACCATCAATTTAGATCACTGCAGAAGAGTACCAAAATCAGAGAGAACACTTTCAGTGCCTAGTTTCCTTGAGCAAGAAATGTTACGTTTTCTTAATTTTTTCCCCATTTCAAAATAAACAGAAATACAGACACACACCATGTACCTTTTAACTGAGTAGTTATTAAAGACAGCATTCTGTAAGACCACACCTAATTCTACTGCGGAGTAGTGAACCACACTTTGACCATGTGTTTCAGTAAGTTCAACGTGAGATCTGTTTGTACTGCATGTTGCATTTCTGCAGCTTCAGCTAACACACATGACCAGATAGATCTAAGTGCAAGGTTTGAAAGTCCCATAATCAGGTAATAAGTGCTAGTGAGCTGGGATAATAAATGCACTGATTCTGTGGGAGGATGAAGAGGCTGTATTCAGAAACAGAAACACAATCATTCTGAGCATAACTTTCACAATGGGAGTTAGAAGTGGCCCCTTCTCCAGGAGGTTTTTTAATATGTTACATCTTTCTGGCCTTACAAGAAAAGTCAATCAAGAAAGATACAAATAAGGGGGAGGGGACCACAGTGTGCAAAATGATAAAAGGAAAAATTTCTAACGTAAACACCACCACACCAGGTGGACAACCAGTAACCAGAAATGCCCCTGCAGTGTTTTTCCGCATCTGTGAACTAGCCCTGAACTGCTAGGTCAAAAGGGTCAGGAAAAACACAAGTTCATTTCTCTTTCCATATTTTCACTATTTCCTTCTCTCTCCAACTTTAAATAAAAAAAAAAATAAAATAAAAAAGGGGAGGGGAAAAAAAAAAAAATGAATTCAACAATGGAAAGTCCAGACTTACCGAAGCTACTAATGTTTCCAGATCGCAGAATATGCTGCTAAAGGGCAACTAATTTGTTATATAGCAGGCAAGGCTTTGTGTCTCCTTGTCTGCCTGATAAATGTAGACATTTCTGTTCCCCCAGATATCGTATGCACCACATTTCCAGCGTTATGTACATGGCCATTTATTAATTTTCTAGTAATTAGTATCCTGGGGACAAATCCTATTGCCACTCTAGTTACCTAATGCAATAAAATATTGCAGAAAGCAAAGTGGGAAGAATTTCTTCTGTTTTATTAGCATTTGCTAATTTTGATCTTTCTAATGATGTGTACTGACCCCTAGCCCGGTAGCTGTGTTTCAAAGCAGATTCTTTAGCAATTTTTTGTTTGATTAAAAACAATTACCAAAGAGGAAATTGGAATCAAATACCTCAGCAGTGGGGAAGCTTTTGACTTAGGACTTTTACTGTACAGGAACTAAGTGAGAGGAGTATAATTTTTAAGAGCTGCCTAATTCAGAAGCAAGAAAAAACCCCAACAGATTAATGACAGGCTAGATATTAGGAAGAAAACTAAGCTGCATTCTTCCTCCCAGAAGCATACTCCTTTGCACACTGAAAATCCTGTTCCTGGTTCTGTTCGTGCTTGCAAAACCTGTCAGAAACAAGGCTGTTGCAGCCATGGTAAATGTACGGGTACAGGCATCTGAATGAGGTTCCTTTGGCCAAACTGTTCAAATGGACAAAGGCACAGAAGCAATGCTTTCCTATTTGCTCTTTGGCTTTCAGATACAAGGACCTCAGCTTCTGACATCAGGCTCCCTCAGGCTTCCCATTTGGGGAATTTGGTAACTTCTTTTGGAAAGTTTACTGGCTATCCAGGAGCTCAGTAATCCTTACAAGCAATGACACTTTTATGCAGCCATTTAAATATACTTCAGGATACTACTTACAGGCACATAACATTGAACATTGTTCCCCATATACAAGCTTTCTTAGCCCAAAACTGAGGAAAAGAGCACAGCTTCCCTGAGCTCCAGCATGCAGAGATGATTTATTTAAGAAGGTGATGAATTTTCATACTGGATGCAGTTACTGAGGTCCATGCACACACACAGATACCTTCACATGCAAACCTAACAAGGTTCCTAGGGAACTTGTAGCTGTTACAGATTCACAGGCTCCTTCACTCAGCTCCTGGGAAAGCACTTACAGCTGATTCCATGCTAATTCATTGCTCAATGAATAAGTAAAATCTGTACAGTATAATAAAATCATTGATCATTATGCTTTAAAAATATTGACTCCTAAATATTTAGGAAGCAGTGTGTACTCAATAGAAATGTTTATTGGCACTGGGAAATTAAACTGTCACCCATGAAATAGTAAAACTCATTAATGCAGAGTTTCTTTTTAAGCATTAGGAATTAACTTTATGACTGCATCAGTAATGATAAGCCTCAGCTTTAAATCGCCCGCCATTTAGTATGCATGAACATTGTTAAAACATATTAACCGTGATTTAATTGACTGAAAATTAAGAAAAGGTGAAGAAAAAAAAAGAAGGCTATAGAGAAAGGTTCAACGCCAGCTCCTTTGGCACCGCTTCCCAGCGGGAACGAGGGGACAGGGGCAGCCGGCCGCGGGGCAGCCGGCCGCGGGGCAGCCGGCCGCGGGGCAGCCGGCCGCGGGGCAGCCGGCCGCGGGGCAGCCGGCCGCGGGGCAGCCGGCAGAGCAACAGCGCCCTCTAGCGTCCACAGCGCCCTGGTGGGGCCCTTGCCCGCCCAGCGCCGCCCGACGGGCTGCATCCGCGAGGGAGGCCGCGCACGGCGGGGCTCGGCTCTGCTCTGCTGCCTCCGGTACTCTCTGCTTTCTCTGGGGAGGGCAGGGCATGGAGCCTCCGGGCTACAAGGCCCACCAGTGCAGAAGGTGGCCGACTGCACAGAGCTTGCCGAAGCTCCCGGAGAGCCCCCGCTGGTGCCCGCCCCCAAGGCATGGCAAAACCCAGTGGCAGGGAAGGCTCCTGCCTGCGGGGACAGACTCCGCTGGCATCACCCGTAGTGCCAGCAACAATACTCAGGAAACTTACGAAGGGATTCCCGAAGAAGAGGGAGCGAACAGGTATTTTCCAGCTGGGCTGCTGTAGGGGAAGCGGGGACGAAGAGCACGCCCCACGACCGCGCCACGCCCGTGGGAACCGACGGCACTGGCTGGGACAAGGGAGGATTCCCAGTGCCGCCAGCGCAACTCCGCCGGGTTGGAGCGTGGCTGCACCCGAAAAATCCCGCACCCCCGACCCATGCGGGAAGGACCGACCCCTGCCAGCCCGGCGAGCAGAGCCGCGCAGCTCCGGCCCTGTCCCAGAGCCAGCACCAGCAACAGTGGACGCAGAACAAGGCGGCCGGAGGAAGGGCGGAAAACTGTGAGGGAGAGGAAACCGGTAAACGGCTTGTTGCAGGCTCCAGCAGCTCCCGCTCACGTCCGCATCCGCACCGGGAGGACGGTGGCGAGCAATCTGTTAATCTGGCCGCAACTGTGCATTTCTAAGCTCCATCAGCAAACCGGAGCAGCGCTAACTTTCTTAGAGGTCACGCTGCAATAACCCCCATTTCCAGGGACTTTTTTCCCATCTCTCCCTGACACCACCCTCCCCCCAACCCCAGACAACCCCTTGCGCTCCTTCTACTCACAGTTTGGTGCAGTTAATCCCAGATGCCAAAAACTGAAGAGCAGCAGAGTGAAGCCCCCGAGGACTTCGGAATCCATATTCAGCCCCGGAGGAAAAAGCTAGCCGCCCGCCTGTCTCCTCCGGTCCCAGACTCCGAGAGCCTCCCAGCCTGTGTGCGCTCCCTTTTCCTCCTCTCATTTACACCATTCAGCATCCAGGCAGGCAGGCAGGCAGTCCTGGCTAAGGGGGAAGTGGGGCCAGGATCGGCCGAGGGACTCTCATCCGCGGTTCTCAGAGGAGCCGCTCCAAGCGCCGACAGCAGCTCCCGAGCCGAGGCGGCTCCCCCGGCTGCTGCCGCGGCGATTCACCTTGCGAGCTCCGGCCGGGAAACAGCAGCCGGGCGCTGGGCACCTCCTTATAGGCGAGAGCCTCGCTGCTCTCCACCTCCGCCCAGCCCCCTGGAAGTCACTCCTCCTCGCCTCCCAGGGAGGATCTTTATTGCAATCTTCACGCGTTGTTGATAAGCATCAGAGTCACGGAGTAAATCAGATGCCAAGAGGGAAAAATACAAAAAAAAAAAAGGCAAATAAAATGAAATCTTCGTCTTTTTTTTCTCCTTCTTCCCCTCACCCCCCTTTCCCCTTCTTTAGGTACTGCTGTGGATGAAACATTTTAAAGAGCACCCAGCTCAGTTGTTTGTTTGCTTTTGAATACATACGTTACATACTTACATACACATAATTAAAATATACACCTGTATCCCAGCACATATAGTGCCGGCACAGCCCGACCGGCTGCAGTCCTGGTCCCGGAGCTCAGCCTCATCCCCAGGCAGTAGGCATGGTGCCTCCGACGGGGCAGACGCTTGATCCCCTCTCCTCCCGCGGGGGGTCCAGAGCCTCCTCGCCGAGCCCTCCCAGCACGCAAACGGAAGCGGCTCCAGGGCTGTGGACCGGACCAGACCCGCACCCTGTGGCTGCATTCCGCTCCCGGCTGGAGAGGGCGATGTTTGGCAAATCCGGATTTCATGACGGATTGATTAGCCGACTGCTCAGCGGCTGAGCAGGCTGTGATTGTCTTCCAGAATGCCGGTACAGAGAAGCAGAGTTTGAAAAACAGCCTTCTGGAGAGCTCCCTGAGTTGGCACCTTGGGCCATGCCTGGCTGCCTCCTGCACACCTGCACACACGGAGGGTACATGTCCTCTCAGGAACTCTAGCTTAATCACTGCTGAGATCTCACCTTGTTGCTTTAATGCGGCATCTCCCAGCATCAATAGAGTGCTGCATCAAAGGTCAAAATTGCATTAGTGATTCCACTGTAGTCTGCAAGGAGAGTGTGTTTGGACCATTGAAGTCTTTGGGGGGTAGGGGGAAAGTGGCTGGTCCTCAGCCATAATCCCTTACAACTGTGAGGAGTAATCAAAAGAAACAGACTGTTCACTAAAGCCATCCTAATTTGCCAATGGAGAGTGGAAGTTTAAATTGCCAGCATGTAGTAAGCCTTATATTAAAAAGTAAGGAGGGTGGAAGAAAGACATTATGCTTAGCTATTACATACTGTATCAAAGAGAGGTGTCGGGGGACATCTTAGCTTTAAAGGGACACTCAGCCTGGAAAGCAAAAATCCATGTTTAAAAAATGACCTTATTATTTCACCTTCTGTTGTTACAAGTGACACAAGTGACACAAGGTTAACAGGGAGGAAGACTGCCTAGCACTGAGGCTTTCAGTCAGAGTCAATAGGGGATTCAGCCAGACAAAACTAAGACTTAGGAGGAACTTAAAAGCCTAATGAGCTCTCCAAATCTGTTGCTTTTGCCTTTAAATACCATGCACACCAAGGCTGCACACACCAAGGTTTCATCTTTGCTCATGAAAGACCTGACCCAGTTGCTCTGTGCTTCACTTACGTGTGAGCCCAGTGAGACTTTTGGAAACTAGGGGTAAGAGTCAGTCCAAGGCTAATGCATCTACATGAGGTATCTGCTTTCTCCTCCAAAGGCCCTGAAAAAGGTGTTCAAATAATCACCCAGGAGATGTTAGTGTAAGGGCACAGACACTTTCTCTATGCAGGCCTGTTTTTGAAGGGAGTGAGGTGTGCTCATTTCCCTCAGTGGGTGAGGGAAACCTTCAAGTTTTCTGATCCTAGTCAGAAACAGCTCATCTTCCCCATACTGATCATATACAAAGCTGGCCCAGAAGCTAAGAACTGTATTGCTTTGACACATTAGGCCACGAGGCTGGAGTATTGAGAAAATTATGTTATTAACTTGACTTTTTCAGGTGAATAATCAAGCTTTAGAAGTGCTAGCAGTGCTTCCAGAGCTACCACTTGAGTAAAGCTAAGCAGTAGAATATATCAGAAAGCTTAAAGCTAGAGTGGATTTGCTCTAGAGACACACAAGTCTTTGACACAGTCACAACTTTGCAACTATGTGTTCTGAAATTAGCAGAGGAATTCAGAATAAGGAGATTAAATATGGGATGCTTTTTTTATGCTTTCCTTTTAAAAAAATGATTAAGATTAAATGGACTGTTTCAAATATTTTCAGTGTCTCTTTAAACTATCTGGCACATTGGTTCACTTTGTAACTGACTCACTGAACTAATTAGTGGCTTGTTTATAGGAAAGCAGATGTGGAAATGAGCTATGCAGACTAATTAAAAGATGTCAGTAAATATGAGCCCAATCCTGCAGTGCATCCCAGTGGTTACCAATATGGATCTGACTACAGGATCTGGACCCCAAGTACACCACTGGTTTTCAAATCACGCTTGTGAGACCTATCTCTCCCATAAGCTCCTTTGTATCATAAATGCCAGGTAGGTGCCTTAAGATTTGTGAATGTTTGGGTGCAGGAGCACTACAACTGAGAAGTTATGACTGGAGTGGAGGGCTACGCAGCTGTTTGTTGCAGGAAATTATGTAAATAATGTCAGGTTTAAGGGGGTTTTGCCAGCAAGATTTTCATTAGGGTAAATTTATTAATCACTATTAAAGCTGTTCAGACAAAAAGTATGGCTCATCCTCAGACGCAGATCTGAGCACCCTGGGTTTTGGGAAAACTCAGTTGTTGATTTAGTTTTAGTGTATCTGGACTTTTTTCAAAATGACTGTGATGGTTGCTACTGAAGGCAGTTCAAGCCTTGGCAATGAGTGAAGGTTTTGTTACATGTATAGTGGTAACTCCTTTCTAACTCCTCCTTTCACTGTGGCACATGTTTTCTCCTCTTCGATGAAAGCAAAGCTAACCTTAAGAGTGAAGGCCCTGAGATCTTTCTTTTAAATTCTCACCTCTTCTTTGACACATCTTGGTTATACCCTTTTGACAGTCACTCAATATTCATTCCCTGTTTGTTACACAAGGGGAACACATACTACTTCTTCACATACAGATGGCAGGAGAAGAAATATCCTAACTTCTGGCATATGTTCAGAGTCTGCAGTCATGATGATCATATGAGCACCTTTGTAATTTCAGAAGCAATGTAGATCATGATTAGGTCATCTGGGGCTGTATAGGAAGGGGTCCATTAGTTCTGCGTGAGAAAACCTAACATGGGCATTCAATTCTACTCCTCCCCAGTGGCAGCCAAGTGCCCATATTAATGCTGCTCAGGACACAAGCAATAGATGACCTGCATGATGGGGAGAGGAAGACAGGCAGCATTAGACCAGTAGCTGTTCTTGTCACAGTATTAATGGCTTGACAGTGCAAGCAGCAAGTAGCTGAAATTCAGCATTTAGTTTTTTAGCCTCAGTGTCCTATCCAAGTTTGTTCTACCAGTCTGGAGCCTTATTATTTGGGCAGAAGGAACCATTTGTGGGACTTAGATGAGAGAATATGAATAGGAGAGCAACAGAAGGACATGAACACATAAGGAAGAGCAGGAAAAGCTGGATGCCACCAGGGAAATAAGGGTATGTATTTTTGAAGGAGAAAGCTTTTTAATTTAAATCTTTATCTGTGATCAGATAAACTTGTTTTCTTTCCTAGAAACAGTAAACAGCATTAATACCGCTATAACCCATACTGAGTTTGCCACTAGAAGCAATAATATTTAACCCATGAATACAATCAATCCAGCTGTTTGGGTAATTGCAGCTGGAAGCTTTATGACTGACCCCAACCCTATAGCATTCAGGGAAGGAGAATATGTGTATTCTTTACACTTATGTATATTAATTTTGAAGAGCACATACTACCACAAACTTCACTGTATGTAGGTTTTGGATCACCTGTTGCTGTTTCCTGTTGATAACCAGGAATTTGGAAAATATCATGTTTCTTATAAAAAAACCTAAAGGTCATGTAAAAAAAAAAAGAAACCTAAAGGGTTGTTTTTGTTTTTGTTTTTTTTTCTTAGAGTTCTCCCCTATAGAAAGAAAGGACTCATTCATTAGAAAGAATATGTGGGAAGCTTTCACAAAACACATTGACCCCAAACAGGTGAGTGCAACAGCAGGCTGCTCATTATCCTTGGATAGTTCCACAGCATACCTAAGTCTGGCAGATAAGAACATTTAATGATCTGCTGGGATAATCCAATGGCCAGTAGCATTTTTGAGATGCATGCTGAGATTAGGGTGAAAGAAATCAGATGTCAAGCTGTGCAGTGATTATTGGAAGACAAAGAGCTACAATCACCTTTTCCTTCCCATTGCTTTTCCCTACATTATTTTACCACTGTCTGCTGGTATTATGGCTTTCATTACATTACCTTGTCTGCCTATGAAGACATTTATGTCAATCATGGGCAGATACAGCTACTGGACTTAAAAGATCAATCACCAGACTAAATAATAGTACCAATGGCTATGGCTACAAACTACCTAAAGACTTCAATAGGCCTTACATGGGATACACTCCTCCCTGGTTAATTCCAGTGACAGGACAAAGAGGTCAGAGAGGGCATGGTCCATAGTCAGCTCTCTGTGATGGTTCCCCACCAAATACAGTGGTCAGCACCAGCTGGGCCAGCCACTGTTGTCTCTGAGCAATACCCTATTCTTACTAAAATGTACTGTCATCCTGTCATATTTACTGTCCCAGAACCAGCTCTCCACCATTGTCCAATGGAAGGATGAACTTCATGAGGTGTTGGCATAAATGCAAAACCCATTCCTGTGATCTCATCAACCACAATCAGACCTGAAGAGAGAACTCATACACTAAGAAATGCAATTTCTCTCTTCCCACCCTCCTTTTGAAGCCACATAAATTAGAATGAAGAAACCCATAAAAGGGTCCCTGGACAGTTAGATGTCACAGAATAGATGTAATCCTTGGAGAACAGCTGTCTAATGGGAACATAATGTAATAAGAACTATGAGTCCCAGCTGAGGTCAAAGCCCAGAGTCTTTCCTTACAGTACTTAGAAACTTCAAGGCAAACTAGAGGATTAAAAAAAAAAAAAAAAATAAATGACAGAAGTTGGGAAGGCATTTTAACACAAAAACTGTGTTTGACAGACATTCCAGTTCAGACCCAAAGTCAGAAGGGAGACAACGTTATCTGTATGAATATGTATTTGCATATGTAAAGAAGGCAGCTTTATTTGTTATTCATTAGTCAGTATCAAGTCTCCATTTTGCAGAGATTCAGTCATTGTCACAGAATTATAATATCTGCCATGTCACTGATGTGAGTAATGACATTTAATGGTCACTGGGATAGATTTTTCAGAAGCAATTAGTGATTTTGCATGAACAACCAAGGTATCCCTTAAGGGGCAATTTTTCAGAATGATTTGGGCCTTTACCTGCTGTGTCATGATCTGTCTGTCCAAAAAGGACAGTTAAAAGGAGAGGCATTCAAAATCATTAGTCTCTATTGAACACTTCCATCCCAATGTACCACTAGCCTATAGTCTCATGCTTGAGGAGAGAAACAATCACCTGGGCCTAAATACATAATGAACAACTTTGAATGTCTCCATCATTTTGCAGAGAAAGTTTGCAAGGAGTGAAAAAGAGAGCTAATTTCATCA